CTAACCAGGCTAAAAGCGGGGCATTTGGCTTGCAGTAGTTAACCCTGGGGAGATACGGTCTCCATTACAGCCTAGAAAAATGAATGCTGGGACATGTAGCAGTAGTGGTAGCTTGGTGGTGGTGTTAGGGCTTATATATGGTGTGTTGCGGGAGGCTGGTAGTGTTTGGTTGTTTTTTTTAAGGTTTTTAACATACTCCTTTGCTAGCTTCTAAAAGAATTCAGAGCTTGATTCTGGACTTCTGCTTTTTTTCTGCTATGTCATTTTCTGTTGGCATAGCAGAGTCCCCATCTGGCGTAACCTTGCACTTTGTGCTGAGAATCTGAATGCTGAACTTGCAAAAGACAGTGCAGTTTTAGGAAAATTTTTCATTGTGACATTTTTGTTTTCTATTTGTCCGGCCATAGAGAGGAAAAAAGGCAGCCTCTGTCAGTCCTGTCTCTCCCTTTTTTCATTCTGAAACGATACACAATAAATAAAAGTCATCTTCATGAGCACACATACAGCAGCATGCATTGTGACTTCCCAAAGAAAGAGAAAATATTTCAAGACAAAACATGCCTGTTCTTGTAAATAGGTAAATCCCTCTTGTCTCTCTTCTCTTTGGCATTTCAAAGCCATTTTGAAGGTGCAAAATCTTTTCCAGGACAATTTTTCAAGGCCATTTCACATTTAATCTGCTAACATATGTGATAAGCCCTTTAATATATATCTCTGCATGAACCATGTTATGGCCAGAACACACAAGTCAGAAGTGAGAAGGCAGTATGTAAAGCTAGCTAATAGCTCTTCCCCCCACCTTCGTTGATCTTGGAGGATCATGAGTCAGACAGTAGGCTAAGATACCTCTTACTTCTGTCCCAGACTTCATTAAGTAAATAGAGAAAATCATATTAGCCTAGGTTATCCCATACCTACTACAGTGATCAAGCTGTTATAATGAATTATAAACATGACTACTCAAATAATGAATTAAACCAATTAGGGAGCAAAGCATGTTTCCATCTGAATGAAGAGGATGTAAATAAATAACAGCAGTGGGTTAACAGTGCTGTAACAGGGTTAAAAGTATTTCTTAGCTGACATATTGCAACAGTGTTGGTGTCATTAACACGTGCATTTAAAACCCTTTCATTTCTATATTTGAAAGAATACAGATTCAGCCTCATTATGCCTGAAACACATACAGCTGAAATCAAAGGGCAGTATACAACAGTAGCTGAAAGCTGCTTTGCTAAGACTTGTTTTCTGCCTAAATTAATGCTATCCTCCTTGTAAGAGTCCCTCATGGGTTTTCGGGAGTGTGTTTTGCCTGATAAAGTGAGGGGCTTGAAGCTTCCCTGAAGTGAGGTGTTGATCTGAGGCATTTGCCTTTATTTATGCAGGAGAAGCCCTTATTTCTCTCCTGGGACTCAACAAATCTCATTTCCACCCACCTGAGCTCAGGGCTGGGGCCTTTTCCGGATGATCCACTTGAGGGACCACAGCAGCAGGGAGCAGCCAGCGGCTCAGTGGAAACCAAAAGCCAGTGGCTCCTCCTTGCACCTTATTCCAAAAGCAGCAGGACCTGAGGTTCAGGGCTGCCTTTGAGTGCTTGCACCATGCCACAGAGGCAAGCACTGCCGTAAAAAATGGTGCAGTGCACCTGGGGATCGGGTTCAAGATCTTTAATAATTCACATCTTCCTTCCTCTAACATGGGTATCCAATGCCCATGTGCCCGTGGTGGTGCTAGTAGCTGGACCACTTTCTGTCAGCGCCCAAGCTGTCCCAAAATCTCGGTCCTCTTCGTGTGGTGTTTGGTTGCTGTTAAAATTATGGTGTGACAAATGAAATACTAAGGAATTCAGAATAAGCAGAAGATGGAGTAGAACTCTTAAGGGACAAAAGATTTTCATTTGCAGGTTACTGGTAGTAATTCTGAAAGGACCAATTAGACTTTCACAATTGCACATTCCAATGCACAATTGGGTTATTCCTGAACAGAATGTTTTCAAAATTTCCAGTGGCATTTCAGCTGTTCCTTAAAGGGTACTGTGGAATACAATAAAAATTTGTAAAAGCATTAGTAATGGTTATAAATTCAAATTTTCAGATGTTTCTTTATCCATAATTTTTTTTTCATCCCTACATTTAGTAAAACAATGACTGTAGCCATGAGGAAGTTGGAGGCCACCTCCCCTAAAGCCTGCCAGTTCTCTGGCTGTGCACGTCTCCCACCTGTTCAACAAGCCTCACTCTAAAAGTGGCCACCTATAAAAAGTTGTTCTAGATACGTGCCGAACTGGCCTGTCATATAGTCAGGAGCAAAACCAGACACAAAAAGAAAGCATCTGTGCTGACTAACTACACTTAAAACAACAGGAAAATGTTTACTCTAATGGATGGGTGCCTTTGTTTTTGTAGCTTTTGGGGTTGGTTTTCGTGGCGTTTGGCACATCTGTTCTGATCTCTGTGTGCTGGCTATGAGTACCAAATCTTGCTGTGGTGTATACCTGCACCTTGTTATATTGGTGCCAATCTTTAATGGGTACCTGTACCAGCACTTGCAAATTTTGGCTGACAGTGACTGTGCACTGTACATTGTGATGTGCTGTAGTCTGTGGCTGTGGGCGCAGCTAATCGGTGCAGAGCGGCAACACCAGGTAACATACTTGACTAATTGGCACTTAATCAAGTGTATTTGAATCGCGTGTGTCAAATATTGGCAGCAAACTCTTCACGACAAATTCATAAAACACATTTTGAATTAATTTTAAAAGGCACTTCAGGCAATGCTGATACGTTTACAGACCTGCAAAGAGGGATGAAGTAACTTGCATGAATATGGATTTGGCTGCTACAGGTAGTGCACTGTATATTCAGTGAAAATGGCAAGAAAGAGTTTCATCTGCGTCTTGTGTCAGAACTATCTAGTAATTAATATAAATTTACCTATTTTTATTAGGCTGATGCCTGTAATTATCAGCCAAAGGATGCAGTATTGTGGATATGGCCTAGGTTTTATTACTGCATTATAACATTTACCAGTAGACCCAATTGCTGAACTACTTAGGTGTAGGATTACACAGTGGAGTTGTCCTCCTAAAGTACATCGAGGGTTACCAAAATTGTGCATGCCACCAGGAAATCACTCATCTCGTTATCATCATGAGCAACCTGAACACAAAATACCTGCAAATACTTGAGGAATTAGACATAAAATGTATTCTGTTGTTTCAGGTCAGCCATGTATGTATTTATAAGTACTAAGGGACCAAGATCAGCTCTGTAATTAGAATACAGATTTTGTTCCACATGCCTGCAAACATCCATGTGAGATATGCTTTTCAGAATGGAGAATTTAGTTCTTGTTATATTTGGTTGATGTTTGTAATACTTGGAGAATAGTGAAGATATTTCAATACTCATATTGAAGAACCGCCTTTGTAATACTTCTGTACTAAGCAATCGTTTTGGGAAAAAAAAAAAAAAAGAACTAATCGTCTTGTGAAAAAAGCATGGTGTGAATCACTTTTTTGTCTCTTGTGAGCCAGACTGACTCTGACTTTCTAGGATGATTAGTTTGTGGAGATACTACTTTTCTGGTGCTTTTGGAGGAGAGAACATCTCACAGCAATGTGGAGGGTTGTATCAAGGTGTAGTAATCTTTGCTCGCTAACTGTAAGCACATTTGGCAAAAAAAAACCACTCTGTACAAATCATGTATTTGCATGGTTTTCTTGTTTCCAGTTACTTGGCAGTCTCATCTGCCATTGGTTTGGATGAGGGGTAATGGGTGTAAGTTGAAACATAAGAAGTTTAATCTCCATGTAAGGAAGAACTTCTTTACTGTGAGGGTGACAGAGCCCTGGAACAGGCTACCCAGGGAGGTTGTCGAGTCTCCTTCTCTGGAGATCTTCCAAACCCACTTGGATGCCACCCTGTGCCACGTGCTCTAGATGTCCCTGCTGGGGCAGGGGGTTTGGTCTAGATGATCTCTAGAGGTCCCTTCCAACCTTAACGATTCTGTGATTCTGTGAAAAAGTAAAGGTAGAGAAACACAACTGCGTTTTTAAACTTCTAATTTGACATCAAGTTGTGTAATGCTACTTACCACATTTCTCACAAATACCATAATCACTTTTTGACAACAATTGTCTGCATTTTAGCAACTTGGAGCTTCTGACAGTATTAAAATAAAAAATAATAATAATAATAATTTCGAACCTAACCAGGTGTCCCAAGTTCTTGAAATATTTTCCAGGGTTAAGTTGTGCTGTGAGCACATTTTGTTTATTATGCCTACCTTTCTTCACCCATACATCCTTGAAAGCTCCATAAGAAGAAGCCCATATATCATAGTATCACACTCATAGTGCTACTGTGATCAGCATCAGGTTTTCTCAGAGAGAAGCACCTTTGGAAATAGAGCCCCTGCAATTCTTATAAACTGTATTTCAAGAAGTGGATGTTGAGTGGATGTGTTTAGGATAACCCCGTCCATCTTACTGTCAGGGTTTTCTTTTTTTATCCCATCTCCCAGCTTGTTTTCATGACTGCTGTGTGCAACTCCATGAGGACACAGCGCTTTCTTCAACTGCAGTCACCTCAGTGGCTCATGTGAAGTCATTTCCATGTAACTAACTCCTTCAAAACTTGCACATAGCACCCTGCTTGCTTGGGCTGGAAGCCGCCAGTGGAAGTGGAGTGTAAAAATCTGCAGTGCTTACACTGTAAATAAATACAATGGAGGTAATTTGCCATTCTGTTTAGGCACAGTTTACAATTAAAAAAAAAAAATCCTTCCCTCAGCCTTTCCAAATAAACCCTCCAAAGAAAATGGTAGGGTAATCCAAGTAAAAAAACTGGACTGGCAGTATTCTTGATTTATACATGTAGGAGGATTGTTTCAGTACGGGTTCAAGTCTTCTCCCACAGAAACACATCTGGTTATGCTCACTCATAGCTACGCCCTTTGGATTTGAATTTTTTCTTTTTTTTTTTTTTTTGTATCCGCAGGATATCCAGCGAACACTCACCAAAGCTTCAGATCCGGAGCCACAGCTACTTGCGGGCAGTGAGTGAAGTCTCCATCAACAGGAGTCTGGACAGCCTGGACCCTGCTGGACTGCTGACGTCCCCCAAATTTCGCTCCCGGAACGAGAGCTACATGAGGGCCATGAGCACCATTAGTCAGGTGGGTGACGCGCGCACATTGGATGTATGTGTGACATGAAGAAGGAGACGCTTGGTTTTTGCCTAAAATGGAATCAGGCCATGATATATAACATGTTTTCAACAGAATTGTTTTCACACAGCTTCACGATTGTGTGAGATGTGATAATGCCATGGTCTGCCCTTTACAAATGGATGAGCGGCACAGCATGCAACATCTGAAGGAGCAGTCTGATTTCTTTTTCAAAGACAGGTGCTCAGCAGTATCTTTAAGTAGGGTCCTTTAAGGTTTTGTACTTAGTATCTGAGGTTTGTAGATGCCTATGAAGCAATTAAAATTTGTTTTAAGTTCAGAAGCAGAGTGTGATGCTAGGAGAAAATGAACAAAGTCTGTGATATTTTGTATTTCGTGTTTTTATTAGTATTTTATGAAAAATTTTAAAGATCTCTTTATCCTATGGTATATTCTTAACTCTGTGCACCGCTGAACTTTTCACCTATGTAGTACAAAGATGGCAATATATGCATTAAGTACAAAGGTCTGCATCGTTTACCTAACACTTTTAAACTTCAATAAAAATAGAAGCCAGCTTTAATTCAGATGAGGAATTTTAGCATCACAAAATAACCTACCTCAATCCTTGCACAAAACATTTTTTTTTAAGATCAAGCTGATCAGGGACAGATCTGGACAGGGAGGCAGACACACAACCTCAAATGCAAAGTGTCACCACTCCAGGTGGACAGATGATGGCAGAGATGAAGCTTTGGCCAGTAGCTCATCTGCCAAATCCTGCAGCTGCAGTTCTTAGGCCTGTTTAGCTCCCTGGTATGATTTTTTGGCTTGTTTATTGTGGATCATTCAGATAAATCATACGGAGAAACAAAAGTCATTCCATTAGTCCGGAAGTGTAGCAGGAAAGGTTTGTGGTGCAGAATATTCACACTTTTAAGTCTCTGAGTTGCCAAAGGAGAGTGAGGCATTAGTGGTGCCAGGATTTCAGCAATAGCAATAAGTATATCCAGATATATTACAGAGTGGAACATTTTGCATAGGATATGGTCTGTTGCTATAGAAAGTAGGTTATGGTGTATCTGGGTGGAAACAGCACTAAAATGCGAGTCTCGGGTGCAACTGTATGAGCTTCAGGTTATGTTACTTAGTTTACTGGGCATCTATCACTTAGACCAAGCTATCTGCCAAAGACAGACCCTTATTTGCCAATGTGGTAAGTATGTTGTTCTTGTTATTTTTTGTTTGTTTGTTTTTAATATTAACTGAGAACTGAGAGAGATATTTATTTGGAGATATGCCTATCCTCTGCCACTGCAGGATTGCTCCTTATTGATACACCATTCACTGCTTTTCCATGCTGCTTGAGCACCGTCTACCTTTTTACACTTCATTTTCAGATATGCATCCAGCATAGTGTTTTTCTTACTGAAATCCAACCTGGAATAGATATTTTAATGTCTTCTTCTCCCATTATAGCAGAGTTTCATCTCCTGCTGGTACCTTAGCATTTTGCATGCCAGAAAAAATAACAAAACCCTCCTACGATGGTTTCTGGGTGCATGTTTCCTGTTGTGCTAACCATTATGCTTTAATGCCAAGCTCAGGGCTCAAGTCTGAGTTCAGGACCATGGGCATCCGTTACCACATAAGCAGAGCACCTGGAAGCAGCTTCCAGGTTTGTCAGCACAGCCCGATGTTTTTGAATGTTCTTTACCTTGGGTGGCTGTGAGTCTTTGTCACCACCTAGTGTCTGCTCATCAAAGGGTCTAAGGATTCCCATGTTTCTCAACAGGAGTTAGCCAGGACGTGGTTACTAGAACATTTCCCCCCTGTAGCAGAGGTGGGTCAGTTACCTGAGGCCTTTCAGCTGTGTGTTAGCACTTCCACACATGAGCTTTCTAGCCCCGGTTTTACCCCTGCCATTGACCATAAATTGCACTGTGCACACAAGGGTCAAGGCAACCACTTTTGTTTTCCTTCCCAAAGAGTGTGTTATTTTATTTTTCATCATTACATTCATAACAGCCTGAGATTGGACCCCTGCTATTGCTTCTGAGTGCTAATACAGGGCAGGCCGCTCTATGGGATGTGCTGAACCCACCTGTCCTTTGCCTGCAGGTGAGCGAGATGGAGGTGAATGGTCAGTTTGAGTCCGTTTGCGAGTCAGTGTTCAGCGAACTGGAGTCTCAGGCCGTGGAGGCCCTGGATCTGCCAATGCCCGGCTGCTTCCGCATGCGGAGCCACAGCTACGTGAGAGCCATCGAGAAGGGCTGTTCACAGGACGACGAGTGCATATCACTGCGCTCCTCATCTCCCCCACGAACAACCACGACTGTGAGGACCATCCAGAGCAGCACCGGTGAGTAAGAAAAAGGGAAACCTGGGAAGTGGCAGGAGGAGGTTACCCTTTGGTGCAGCTCCATCACTCAGCTCTTCTCCATCACACACCAGGCCCATAAGAGGGTCTGTGCTTCTTAAACATAGCAAGGTCAACTCAGTGAAGTGCTTATTTATTTGGGAATGTGATAACCAAGAGGAAAAAAAAAAAAAAAAAGAAGCTTGTTCAGACCAGACATGTATCTCTATCACTGCAGGAGACCCCTGGTTGCCTTAGCAGCCGTGCCACCCCACACAGCAGAGAAGGGGGCTGGATGGATGGGCTGGTGTCGATCAAGGCACACGCCCAAGCTAAGGTAGCTGTGATGCCTCCTGTACTCAACCAGCTCACTTGAGGCCAGGCACTCATGGAAGAGAAGCCACAGGTTGTATCTGCTCTCACTGCAGAGAGTCATGGTTTAGCAGGGCTGGAAGCATATCCGAACTTTTTGCAGCAGAGGAAGGTCCTCTTCAGGGTGCATCTTTGGGAACTGCTCCAGTCTGTCCTTTCAAAAACTTGAGAGTTATTGAATGTGTTGATGGATGGCTCAGAGATGACTGCAGCACTCCAGGGTGCATCTTGGAGAGGGGAAGGAAGGAGGGAGAAGGTCTGCAGGTCAAAACATGTTCACATCCCTCTGTTACTCCTGCTGTGCTTCAAACTATTTAAGCCTTGCGAGAGAGAGGATTGAGTCTAAATATATATGACTTACAAACCATCTTTTGAATCTCGTCTTTTAATATTTGAGGCTGTTTTTTTTTAAAAGAAAAAAAAATCTTTTGCTCTTGGAAGTGAATTATAGATACTGTGACCAAAATTAAGGCTTAAGGGGAGCAACATGCAAGTCAGAAACTAAAATCCAAATCTGTCTTTTCGCATGTTCATGGAAGCGTATCACATTCGCATACTGTCTTCTGTGAGGAAAGGAGGAAGGGCCTCTTCTTCTGATTTCTCTGCATCCATTCCACTGCTTTACACAAGCCTCATTTACTGCTCACGCTACTACAAATATTTCACTATAACTACCTTCTCCTTTTCCAGGTTCTCTAAATTCTGTTTTCTGTTTCTGTTCTGAATTTTTGCCTCCTAAGTTTGTATGTTCATATTTGTATATGTTTGTGTGTTCTCTCTCAGGTGCAGTTGTCTGTACATCGTAAGGTACCTACCTCTCACTCCGGTCTCTTATAAAACCTCTTGTCAATTGGCTTATTTCATCAAAAGACATTATCAGTCTTTTTACCAGCATTGTTCTGCTTAATTCTTGATTTTTTTTCCTAATAGCAATAAGTATAAATATTGATAGTTGGAAATACCTTGGCAGTATATCACAAACATCAGAGCATCTTTAACAAATACTGTGGTGAAATTCTCATTTAAGTCACTAACCATTAAGAATTAGTATTCGTGTGACAAACTTTCTGCTGTAAAAGTAGCTCTTGTGTGCATACAGGGCTTGTATTGTACCACAAAGACTGGATTTACATAAGATGCTTATTAATTTATCATATGGTATTTTAGCTTGTTCAAATATGTTGTGAGACAAATTCTGAAGAATAGTTTTTGGGGAGTTTTCAGCCTGTGTTTGCCTTCATTACATCACCTTGGACATCTGAGTGTTTATTTTAGTTCTTTTGACAATAGCTTTGTTAATACTTTTTCTTCATGAAAAAAAGAACTGTAATGCTTAATCAGAGAAAAATATCTATATTTTAATTATGGTCATGTCAGAAGATGTTTCTGTCACTTAGAAAAATGAATAATGTGTCTGTTTGGAGATGATGGTGTGTGAGTGGAAAAGGGTGGCTGTATATATCAGCCCAAAACACTTGCAAGTCCATAAGAAAAAAGACCTTTCACAGTTGACTTGTTCATGCTCCTTTTTTTGTAGTACAATCACAAACAGCGTCCTGATCCCTTCTCTGAGAAGCCGGCTTTATTAAAAAATCATATGAACAAGGCCATGTTATTGAAAATGCAGCCCAGTAGGTATGCCCGAGCAGTCAGGTTACTGCTTCCGTTGTCAGCCCTTGACATTCCTGAGAGAAATGATTTGCAGTTTCCTCTTTCTGGACATCTGTACAAGCATTTAAAGATTGCTGCAGTTACCTGTTTTCTCTTCTGTTAATAGGCATTTTAATCAATTACATTTCTCACTTTTTTATATGTATATATATATATATATATACTTCTGAGGATTCCTCCCTTGTGTTGGCAATATTCTAGACAACTTGTCTCGCTTGCTCTCTGATTTATATACTGTTGTCTGCTGAGTGGGGCTTAGTACTGAACTATTTCCATCCAAAAGCATCTATATCCACTACTTGGTGGCTGCCTGTGGCTGGCTCGTAGAAGAGAAGCAATAACACAACAAGCATTTTTGATGGTGTCTATTAATATAGGCCTCCATAAAATGGGGAATGGGACAATAACAAGACAGGCATGAAGAAAGGAAAAAGATACTTCACACCTATCTCCACTTACATGATGTTTCAAGTGTTTGCGGGGCAGACATAATGTGCAGTTATGATCTAAATTACGTATTTTAACATCCCCAAACTAGAGTGCTCTCGTCCTGTCCCCAAAACACCTCTGCCTGTTCTGCCAAGGAAAATTCCTTTCAGCAGTAACACCAGCCATTTCCTCAGTGACCTGACTTTTTATTCACTAACACACAAAGCTGAGATGATACATTAATGGCCTAGAAACCCAGGCAAACACCAACTTGATTGTAATGGAAAAGAAAAGAAAGAGATATCCCTATCCTCCAGACTCATGATTATTTTTCTGGAACAATGACCCACAGTTTTCCAGGGAGTCTAGATAAAAGTATGAGCAAGTACTCTGCACAGAACTGCTCATCTCTACCTGTCATTGCGACCTCCAGTTTTAATTTCTTTTTGCCACATAGCATCAGAGGTTTAGTCATGAAACTAGGAATGTGTCTCTACCAAAGAAGCTGTTACTTCTCAAGGACAAACTAAATCAAATTGTAAGTAGAGGAAAAGTACAGTAGTTGTAGCATCAAGCTCAGCAGAGTTAATAGCAGAGTTAGTTAATAATGCATAGCTATGGAAAAGAACTGAGCTGGTAGAGGTAAATATTATCACTAGTGGTGGAAATCGTGCTTTTCATGGATAACACTGTATTAAGCATCATATGAACAGGTCTGGCAGTGACCATCTATTGAGTTTTAAACTATGAATTGCGATAGGTATAATGGTGGTATAAGTGTTGCAGGGACCTTAGTGAGGTTATGTTACAATATAATGATTATTAGGTTAGCAAAAAAATCTGTGTGTTCATACTGATTTAACTTAACAGAGATTGGAGGAGAGCAGATAAGGGATGGGGGTACAAAGATTTATCATCTAAGATTTTGACATTTTAGACCCAAATCACAAAGGGAAAAAGTCAAAATCTCATAAATATTCATGAACTAGTCATGAACTAATGTTTAATATGAAACATTTCAGTTATTTGGGAATGTTTTATTTGACATGTTTATTTGACATGACATGGCATTTGACATGTTTTGTTCTTTTATTCATTTTATTCATTTAAATAAATTATTGTTTAACAGCAAAAGTCATTTCAAGTAGGTAAGCTGAACTTTCATTTTGAAAGTTTCACTGAGCCTTTTCATTCTTCTGCTCTTGTTGATGCGAGTTGATGATTTTTTTTTTTCAGTGAAGAATGAGAATCCATAAAAGGCCTAAGCTTTTGGAGGAAGCTAGCCAAGCACAGAATTTTTTTTAATTGTAAGGATATGTTGTTTTTCACTAAAGTTTCTTTTTTTTTTCCTAAATAACTTGAAGTTGCAAAAGCTGGAAAGATTTCTGCATATACCTTAGTATTTGTTCATGAAGGGAAGAAGCAGCCTGGGTTTCCGCATGGATCAGAGCCACGGAGGCAGCCAGCCCCCAGCCCCACAGGGCTGTTTCCACCCACAGCCGAGTGCTGAAATGCTGCCATATGCTGTGCACCACTGTCTGCACTAAAAATCACCGTCCATGTCATTCAACCTCTTCAGAGGAATGTAATGAGGTGTGAGCTCTCACACAGCCTGATCCCAGGTTATTTGCAAATGCAGCGATTCTGACCAAGTGCTGAAATGCTGCCATATGCTGTGCATCACTGTCTGCACTAAAAATCACCGTCCGTGTCAACTTTCAGCTAGTAGGTTCAAACAGTCACTAAATAGGTTACATTTTAAGAAGTTAAAATCTTCAAATGACTTCCTTATACTAAATGAAGATAGTAATTAAGAAACAATGGAATTTTAAAGCAGTGTAAAGACCATCTTTATCCCACACGGCCTGTGTCTGACTTGCACAGTGCAGGTCATGCTGCTAAACCTTGCTCGTGCAGCCTTCACCTTCCTTTGCAAAAACACAAACAAATGTTATAACAGTTAGGGTGTAAGCGTGGATGCAAAGACATAGTTGAGATTGCATATGTTTAATTTTAAAATCTTATCTGTGTAACTGAGCTCAAGAAGCAAAATCAGCACTTACTAGTGCTGCACTAGTTTGAAGTATTTTGTCAAGATCTAACTACGTAAACAGAAATATCAAAAGGATCTGCAGTGGTGCCATCTGGTGATTCTCAGTAATATTACACTTCTAATCAAAAGCAAACCGAACAAAAATCTCAAGCAAACCATACTGTATAGCCAGCAGGTTAGGAAGGGAGTGTGAGTTATGTTAATTATGGTACTTTTGGAAAAGAAAAGCTGCTTTTCCTCCATTCTTTGGCTTATCTGACAAAGAGGAGTCAGCTGTTTTATGGGAAATCTCTAAGGAGCTGCCTAGCCAGTAAGAAAAAAAGAAGAAAAAAAAAAGCAAACGACATCAAAAATAGACTTGTGCCTGGCAGAATTCAAAAATAAAATGAAAGCATGCAGAGGAACCTGTTACAGACTGTGTGCCAGCTGTTTCCAAGTTTTCTTGGATTCCTCAGAGCTGTCATTTCAAAGACTGTTG